GTCGCTCTGCGCTGGCCCCTCTCTAGCAGCTCCATGTCCCTCTTGTCCTGGGGAGCCCAGAACTGCCCCCAGTGCTCCAGGTGCCTCCTCAGAGCTGAGCAGAGGGGCAGGATCCCTCCCTCGCCCACTGGCAACGCTCCTCCTGGTGCAGCCAGGAGCCCATGGGCCTTCCTGGCCACGAGGGCACATTGCTGCCTCATGGGGAACTTGGTTTCAACCAGGACTCCCAGATCCCTGTCCGGAGTCTTCTGCAACATCAGTTCTACCAGAACTTGCCTCCTTCTTTTAAGGAAATGGTCTCTGTTGCTGCCTCTGCTTTTTCCCACAGCCATGAAGACATCAGGTCTTTCCATCCACTCCCCCAGGAAAAGTGAATCAGGCTATAGCTACAGGCAGTGAGGGAAAAGAATAACAATACGGGCCGGGGACAAAATGAGCTTTGCTCAGATGTGTTTTCTCAGAAAATACAAGGCTACTGGTTAGCTTAAATTGTGAGTCAATCTTAAATATTTCTAAACTGCCTTTTTTTTTTTTTAAGTGTATGTTGATACTAATAGAGCTCCACCTTTTTCTGCCAAGAAAGTAAGCTTTTACTTATGTAAACAGAATGAGAAGGTTCAAGGTTGCTACTTTCGTTTCAGAAGCCCAGGAAGCAGGGAAATGCTGCTGGTGCCTCAGAACCTGAAAGCAAAACTTCAAGTCCAGTAAAAATTGTACCAACTCCAGTGCATGGCAGCATCTCCGGGACTGACCAGCCAAACCTGAGGTGTTCACTAGAATATTATTGTGCTGGTTGCAAATAGGCAATTCCATATAAAACAGCAGCAGCAGGATAGCATGGTTATTACTGACTGTACTGCACGCGTTTGTCAGTAAACCCGCAGCACGGCCACCCTGAGACAGCTCTGTTTCTTTTTAATGCCAGCTTTAGCCTGGCAGAGCTGCAAGCTTTCCATGCCAAGTGAACTATGCTGGTTTTTCTGCTGGCTTAACCACATCCAGGCTACAGCCCTGGCCAGCACTGAAATTCCGCTGCTGAAGGAAGCAAACATCCCTGCTCGTGCAGCACTGGCTTCCCATCACGCGTGCTACTGCCTGTGTCCCCTGCATGCCCAGATTGGCTCAATGCTGCCTATCACGACGGAGCCGAGAGCGTTAACACCCATGAGTGGGTCAATCTCCCAGCAGGGACAAGGGTGAGGAGCTTCACCCCTTCTGAGAGCACAAATGGGGCAGTTCATCCGTGCATGGGTGGAAACGCTGAATCATACCCGCTCGGCACTCATACCTGTTGTGTTAATGCAAAAATGGGTTTGAGAAATAACCATTTTGCACTTGGACCTCAGCCCCTGCCTTAGTGCCCTGCCTCTGCCCAAGCATGATCTGCTCTCTCTAGCTTTTCTCTCGTTCTCCTGAGAGCAAATCAAATGAAAACAGAAACCAAGAGACTTGCAGAGCTTTGAGGCTGGATACTGTGAAACAAAAGTAAAGCATCCCACTTTCCTCCCTTCCCCCCATTCTAGGCATTTAAAAGAAACCTATTCCATGTGATCTGAACCCATCTTTCTAAAATGGAAGGATACTCTCTAATAATGCTGGTAAGGACTGCTTGCAACTACAGTCCTGATTTCCAACCAGCGCAGAGTCCCCAGATCTGCTCAGCTTCAGGCCTCAGACTAAACAGAAGTAATTGTGTGTCCCTTTGCATAACGATGCATAAAAACAGAAGAAGGCTACAAGCCACAGCCTGGCACACACAGAGCAAGGGCTGACCAGGCCTTAACCATAGCTGCAGCAGGTCTCCTCCGCAGCACGCGCGGTGCGGTAGCGACACGACGGGTGCGTTTGCGTGGTGGAAGCAGCAGTGGCTGAGCCAGTGGCTCAGACCTGGGGACACGACTCCCCAGGAGCCCAAGATGGCCACAGTCACGGTGCCACTGTCCCCTGCCTGTCCCTCTTTCCTTGGCCAGCAGTGAAGTCTATGTGTCCCTCTCACAGCATGGGTTTCCTAAACCTCTTGGCTACTAAACAAGCTCGCAGAGGTATCAAACTCTTCTCCTCCTCCTGCTGCCCTGGGGCTCTCCAGGCTGAGTGTTGAGCAGTCTTTCACCACGGTTGCAGGAGCAGCCCCCAAACCCAAGTCACGTGTGGACAGGATTTGTGCCTTGGGAAGAAGACACCAGCTGGAGGTTAAGAGCTCAGAAACCAGCCCTTAGGACATGGGCTGCAAGATACAGAAGATGCCAAAGCAAACTTCTCAAAAGCCATGCCAAGAAAGCAAGAAACAAAGGCATGGTTAGCAAATAGTGCACGTGTCTTGATATCCCACTCCAGAGAGTTGAAAATGGCCACCAAGAAGGTCCTAGAGCTTCAGTCAAAACCACTGAAGGAGGCGCCCACTTTGCAAGCGCTGAGGCCGAGCGGAAACCTGACCAGCATGAGGAGACGCGTGCCGCAGGGCTCTGCTGCCTCCCTCCCACAGGGAAGGGAGAAAATACCCTTCTCTGCAAGGCAAAGTGCATCGAAGTCTGGACAGTCAGCACCCCTCTAAGACCCCCTGCAGTAAATCCAAACATTTCACATAGTGCCTCCTCCAATTTGGTTTTCCTCACTTCCCATTTTGCTGTCTCCGTGGGATTATCAGCTGGAAACGGACACGCTTGATGATTTCTGAGACCTCAGATTCCATTATTCCGCCACAGCACTTACTAATTATAAATGCTTTGCCAAATATCGGATGTTTTTACTGGCGGGAAGCCCGTGCTTAATGGGCTGATAAAGTGGAACTGGGGTGTGATTGGTTACCTGGGTCAGCTGAAATGGTGCCCTCAGGAGGTGCCTGCCCGGGCGAGAGGGCTGGTTCCTGGGTGAGAGGCTGAGTAAATTCTACGCCTAGAAGAAAACTTTGTATGTTTAACTGTTCCCAGGGAAATCAAATGTTCAGTCTAGTTCCTACTGAATTCAAATTATTGCTCAAAATTGCTCCCATGAAATTTTCAGTTCTATTGCTGCAAACTCAGGAAAGTTGACTATAGAGACAGGGAGGAAAATAAAACCAAAGATCTGCTTCATGCCTGTCATTCTGGCCAGGCACAGGCCTCCCGAAACCGCAGGAAACTACGCCAGAAGAGAAAGACTTGGGCATTCAGAAAGCTGGGGAGAGGAGCAAACCCCAGGGTGGATTTCCCAGACACAGCCAGTTCCTGACTTTCCCAGTTATCGATGATGTCCCTTACTCATTTCCAGATACTTGTCTCTCCTTTGTCTTGGCATCTCACTCTATTCCTTTGCTAGTGCTGCCTTCTCCGAAACACATTTGGGGGTTTATTCAACTCTGCCAGGGAAGTGAAAGGGAATGAAAGCCATTACAAGCTGGAGGGTAAATGATTAATATTTCCAAGGCATTTCTAAGATTATAGATCTGGTTTTACAGGCACTTTTGTAGGTCTGTCTTCCTATAAGATGGGACGGCATCAACTCCCTTCTGTTCTTGGCGTTCAGGTTTAATTCTCTAAGCCCTGTTGAGTGAACGTTTCGGTGTCACTCGGCAGAACCACGGTATCGTACTAAGTAAGTTACATGTAACTTGAGAGAAAGCTGGTGAGTGGTTTACCAAGAAAGAGTAACTTAAAACTAATATAACTTTGGAATAATGTACCTATTCCGGTGATGGGTATACGGAAGTCTGATATTCAGATGGGCTTTTTTGCTACTTGCTAGCTTTTTTGATCTTGTTTTGAGTCATGAGCTGCTGCATCAGCACCAGGCTGGAGAGCGGCTGAGCAGAAAAGAGTTTGCAGCAGCTGAGCCAGCCCTGTGGCTGAAACTCCAGACTGCTGCTCGGCTCCAGCTTTGCTAAAATCACTGAAACGACACCCATTAGTTTCACTTTCCATTTTCCCAGGACGTCTGCTGTGTTTGCCACCAGAGATCCAAGTTTCTTTTTCCTAGCCGTTACCTCTGCATCAAAGGTTTTTGTGCTCTAGTGCTTTTTGTGATCCTTGTGCCGAGTTAAGAACAAGCACCACTGCCCAAGAGCCACATTCCCTTGTGCATCCCCAGGGCCACGCGGTTTCCCCGGCTCCTGTCGAGGCCCTGGGCACGGTAGGAAGAGCAGGAGATGTTGCGGTCTCAGTACCCAGAGCGCTCAGAGCACCCTGACGCCACAGGCTCAGGCCTATCCCACCCCTCACCTTGTTACTGCACAAACAACAGTTTAAAAAAGCCCTCCCTGTCCCAAGTAAACAATACCGTAAACGGGACTTTATCAAGATAAAGATAAGGGCTGGCAGTGGAAATTTACTCTTATAGTTTCCAAACTGAAGGATTCTCAAACATTTTCATAAAAAGTCCCCGGCTCCTCATGCGAAGCAAGGAGACGTGGCTGCGCGTGGCCTCCTTGCCGTCCCCGCTCGGCCGCGATCCCGCGCCGCCGGCACGCGCTCCGCTGGGAACGGGCAATGGGCCATGCAATAAGCACCGTGTCCAAAGGTCATGAGCAGGGAATGCGTAAAACAGACCGTGTTTCTCTGCTAACTGTATCCAGGCTACTTAAGCATACACAAGCTCTAGGGTTATTTTAGCTCTGGACACAGCTCCTTGTATTAGGCCTAGTTTTCTGTGTTTTATTTGTTCTCGCTACTGGAGCAAGGCTGACAAAAACACCTCACCAACAATCCTACACAAGTTACTCCTGCTTCTTCCTGCTTTCAGAACTATCCCAGTTTGCTCCAAACTGGCTGCAATGCAGCCCCACAGAGCATTCAACCTATGTATGTAACAAGGTGGAAACTTGCTAACCTGTTTCCCAAAAGAGAAAAAAAAAAAAGTGAAATGACACACTCCCAAATACAATTTAAATTCAAGATTCTGCATGACTAACTTGACCTTACAAGTGTTTCTCCGGAATGCAAACAGTGAGGAAGTCTCCCATAGGATGAACTTGCAGGCATGGCTTGTTTCACTGATGGACAGGAAAAGATGGTTAGATATTTTTTCCATTCAAAAAAATGCTTTGGGGTTTCTTAACTAATTTATTTTGGCAGGACAAGGAGTCTGGAGCGGGTATTACTGGCTTGATGCTTTGAAGAGCACTTTTTTTTTTTTGCATTCCCACAGAAAATCATTTGAAGGACACAAAAAAAACCTTTGTCTTTTTATGTAACGAGCAGTCATAGCCTAAACCAATAACAGAGCTTAAAATTAGTGCTTCTAATGTGACCACTGAGACATTTCAGACTTAATTACATTTGAAGCAGACCTAACCACCCATTTCTATCCAGTTTCACGCAAACGATAATTGCTGCTGTAGCCACACTGCAACATTGTAGAATTAACCACATCCTAGAGGAGCTGGAAAGGAAAAAGGGAACAAGGCTCAGAAATAGCCGTGCAGCAGAATAGCTGTGCAGCCCGGAGAGGCTCACTGATGAGCCCGGCAGGTCTCCCTCCTGCAGAACAAGTTGCTTTTCCAGCAGGACGACGACGTTCCTCCCGTCAGCGGTGCTCCGTGCGAAACACCCGAGCGCAGCAGGGCACCTGCGTCTTGGCTGGGCTTCCCACGTTAACTCACACACAGAGAGAACATTCGTGTGCCTGTATGAACTGCTTGCAGAGACGCTTGTGAACATGCTCATCAATCTCCTTCTGAAAAAATCAATATTGTGCTTGAAGAGGCTGTGCAGATTTTACAGCAAGCTGTGATCCTGTGCACCAAGCATTATCCCAAGGCAAATATGATATTATCAAAGTTAATGGAATATTATAAATATAAATAAATGGTATCTATTAATAAAAACAAATAGTATAAATGTTGAAGTTAAGGCCCCCACATAAATCTTACACTGGACCGTAAGTTGCAGGCCAGCCTCCATATTGCTACTAGGGGAATGTGCAATGGGGAAACTCGCAGTATTTTGCAGTCCCACAAGGGCTGCCCCACTGCAGACACACTCCTCCGTGACACAAACAAATCATCCTCCTCCGCCATCATCACATCTTTCTTTGACCTCACTGAAACAACAAGGTAGCACAACACTTTTGCATGCGCTCAGGTAGGGCAGTCAGCAGGACTAAACACGCTTACCTTGCAGGCAAACAGCTAAGACGTTCTGTGGGTTCAAGCAGCAGCCGGTCCTTCATCGCCGTGCGCAAGGGCCTTCTGTGCATGATTCCAGGTGGCCCTGCCTTGGCTGCAGTGCTGGGCAGGGGGACGCCCAGGCAGAGGGAGATGCCGCCCTCCCGTTGCGCTGAGCGTCTCCCGCGTCCCAGGCTGAGGGCAGAATTCCCAGCACCTTCCCAGTACCGTCTGTTCGAGGCTGCCTCGCGCGGCAGCAGGGAGAATTAGCCCCGCTGTCTGCAGTGCCATGGCGGGAAGGTCAGAGGGCCACATCCTCACTCTATGCCGTGCAGATACAGGTTTTGTTTTTCTTTGTTTTACACAGGAACTAAAAAAATCATGACAGTAAACTAATAAACGAGCTCAAAGTCAAGAACGAGCAGCATCCGAGACATCGATGAAAGCTGCATGTTTTTAGGTTGTTTGTTCTGCATTGTGTGAAAATTGCCCTTTTGCAAAACCAGCCCTGCATTAACCGGCAGAGTTGAGAAACATGGTGGCTTCTTTCCTATTGTTCTCCAAGTAACTCGGAGCTACGGCAGCTCTGTGGGAATGCCAAGACAACACAAGTCAACACTGGCCTGTCCAGAGGCTGTTTGTGTAACTGTCTGCTTTGCCTTTTCCCCCCAGCTCTCTCCAAAGGAAACATAGATCCTGCAGACCCTTGGCTGATGCCTTGTGCTTCTGATCTGGCCACATACAAGAGCTAATTTCATGCAAGGCTTCTGTTTGCTTATCAAAACCTGCTAATCGGAGGAATGGAAAAGTTTCTTCATACATTATAGGGAAGTCCTTGTCTGGGTATATTTTACTATTAGATACTGCTTATCTTTCCCCTGGAAAGGCAAAGCAATCATGAGATAAGGAGTTGCAGTAGGTTAAATTCTTGGTTCTTCCACAGACAGCTTGTACAATTTTGAGTGATGAGCCTGTGCTCTGCTTGCCCCACCATCACAAGCAGAGTGATGACCCCCACCCTCCTGCTGCTCATCACAGCTCACCGCAGACTTTCTGCAGCGGTGCCTGCCTCGACGCAGGCCCGTGCAGCACCCAGCGCCGCCGTTTCAGCTCCAGCACATCAGGGCGATCAGCGGCGCAGAAGAACCCCTCGAATGAGCTCCTGGTCATGCAGCTCCCGGTCGGGAAGGAATTACGGAAGATTATAGCAGCAAGGGGTGGCCCTGCACATAAACGAGGCTCATCTCAACACTATTGGGAGACTGCAAATTGTGAATACGAGCGATATTCTAACAGCCACAAAGCTAGTGAAATACATGTGACAGGTATATTTGGAACACTGAGCTACATAGTGACTTTTTCTTGAAAGTACAGATGTCAAGAGACTAATATCCCTCCGTTACACCCACTTCATTCACTCAGGAAAATATTTAATTTAAAGTTCAAAGAAGCAAGCAAGCAACAAGGATGGTTAAGGCTCACATTGCTGATAGTGTCTTACAGGACCTGCACTGTTGGCCAATCCTCATTTTGGAATTTCTAGGAACTGCACAATGAGCTCCGTTGTTCTTTCATGGTACAGACTTTCTCTTCCCACTACAGTTGTTTGCAGCTGTTTACTGAGAAAGCTTTTCTAAAAGACAAAGCTCTACATGGAAACTCGTAGAGAAAATAAACCTTCCATGTGAATTATCTTTGATAGCTACTCTGTGAAACACTGATCGACTGGCACTGCTCAGGGTTGTTCTGATGAACAGTTGCACATTGCACTTGAACTTCACTGTGGGTTCTTAGATTCGAATTTGGAGGCTGCGTGGATCCTAGATTGTCAGTAATATTACCGATAACCCCAAGCTTTTATGTTTCTTTATCCTTAGCACCACTTCATACTTTGCAACTTAGTCCTGTCAGAGGGGTGATTATCACATTGCCAGCTTGCAGACCTCCATCTAGGAGGAACAACTTAATATTTGCAGCTTCTTCAGATGATTCAATCTGAAGAAGCAAATAAGAAAGGAAAAGTTTTATTGAGGT